TAATGACGACCCAACCTAATAAAACCCTAATATCGTTTATTATATAAACGACTCTTCTTTTCAGAAGAGGGTTACGATCTTAAGCTTTCGTTTTTCATCATACTTTCACGGAATCCTCTAACATTTTGGCTTACGATTTATGTGCCTAGAATCGTAAGTGTCCACTTGGATTATCCTAGGCTGAATTTCTTGTANTCCAGGCATAGGGTAGAAATATCAGTTCGGAAAGTGATATCACGATCCAAGTCGGTATCCAGATCTCCACTACAAACCCTAATATTCCCTACAAACTATACCCTCAAGACCGTTTCCAATGTTCTACAACTTATCACTATCTTTCCATCATCTGACCATGTTTCCTTGGCATTATAGTTGTCCCAACCATCGATAAAGTCTTCATCAACAAAACCTAGTTCCTAATGCGACATCTCACTAGAGTGTTGATAAATTCTGAAATGCACCTTGCTCTATTGACGTCCACCACTAGAGGTTTGGATAATAAACAATAAGCCCCTACCATCCATGTAACTCTCATAAGAGGATCACGTCCTCTTGTTCCATGTAGATAAAAAAAACAAAAGTTGAATGACTAGATTTCGTGTATCAAAATAGACACAATCCAACCTTAAGTTACGCAAGATGTTAACTTCTCATTTCTTATTGACTTCCATGTAAAGACTCAAGATCTATCCTCTTTGCTGAATGTAGCACCGAAAACATGAACATACATTATCATCAGCTCGAGCTTATATACACAAACACAAGTCGAAAAATATGAATTATGATTAACTATCAGTGGTTTAGCTATTTTAATACTTATATGGCATTCCAAAATGGTCGCTAAATTTTAGTTGTACATCTAAGGTCCTTAAACAAAAAATATGTTAGTACTAATATTTTGTTCTAAAAAACAAATCAAAACCTAACTAAAAGGCCACTACTCGGAAAGTCACAGTTATAAGTCTTGCCAATAAATAATAACACAATGCATGTTTCTCTGAGAAGGTATTCAAATCACATGTCGTGGAAAAACAATATGGCTTTGTGACCTGCTACTTTCTACTTGAAGTCTTATTCAAACTCGATGCACCTTTTGTACTTGATTTTGCATTGTTTTATTTCTATTTTTAGTTGGACGGGAAAAATTTGGTGTAGTCTCTGCTAGTATGGCCTATTTCGTTACATCGAGAACAATGTTTGATTATTGGCCTATCCCTTTGTCCATTATTGGTGGTCTAACAATCATCAAACCTTCTGAGTTCTCCCAATTGTAAGGGGCAGGTAAAGGGTTTCACTTCCTCCTCGTATATTCACCGCTAATAATCAATGTGGTAGGCTGATAGCCATTACGAAAAATCCATCATGTTTTGAATACTTTTAACATAATAATGGGATGACCACACGAGAGGTCATGAATCTAGTCAAGTGCATGTTCTTTCCCTTAGATCAACAATGCTTTTTATTTACCATGCATGACCTCAAGATTTTCATTTGAAATCAGACACACCCTCCAACTTGTAGTATTTTTTGCTCGCTTCCCAACATTTTTATCCACCCATAGACACACCCTCCAACTAGTAGTATTTCTTGCTCGCTTCCCAACCTTTTTATCCACCCATGTCATTAGTTTGGTTGTTACCTCCGCTGCATAAAGTAACAAAATATTACTGTTAGTTTCACTTTATGTTAAATGGAAGAATTAACCATATATTGTTCGTTATTCTTAGTTATACTTGTTTTATTCTGATGCTTATAACACAAATGTTGCATGATCATTTGAAAAAACTCAAGGAGCATCACTACCTCTATCTTATGAGCATCTTTCGATAATGCGTCGATAAATTCTACACTATTTGATGTCATAAGATTCTAACGATAACCCATGAAATATTTATGTGACCATTTTTTTGGATTTAATTCTATTAAGTATTTTTGGTCGGTAGTTTGTTCCGATGTAGTGCCTCAATACAATATTCAAAATATTCCACTCTTTAAGCTTTTGCAACCTTCCAAAATAGTGTTTTTGTCGTCACATTTTTATTGTACTTGGCTACTATGTTCGAGAAAAGATGATGAATACATACACCATGATAAGCGTCTGGTAGTATATTATGGACATGGCAATGGAGGGCACCCTATCAGAAATGAATGTTAATAGTTCCAAGCCCTCGATAAAGTCAAGTAGTTTTTATAGGAACCATGACCAAGATTTCGTGTACTCGCCCTTGGCTATTCCATATGCAACATGCAAAATTTGGCTGTTTCCGTCCATTGCTACCGCCAACAACATGGTTCCCTTGAATTCACCATTAAGGTGAGCCACGTCTAACACGAGGGTACGTTGACCGATACTTTGAAATGCCCGTATGTACAACACAGTCACATAAATTAACAAACGAATGATACAAATAAACATTGAATTTAATCAAAATAAGTTAACATACAAATGATAACTATTACCATGCAACCAATAAAGAGAAACAAAAATCAAAGCGCTCATCATCATCCATTTGAATGTATGTGATTGAACCGGGATTACAATAGTCTATATTGTAACAATATATGGCCAGTTTAGGAAATGAGTCTGCTTGAGTGCCACTTGGAAGATTAAACGTGTGTTGTTCAGCACGCCATGATCATTACCCAACACATTTGTAACAAAATGTCCCAACACTTTTTTACTTGCTTGGCGATGGGTTAGGTCCAATTATGTTGAAGAAAAATTGTGTTGGTCCACAAGTTTGTGGATCTAGAATATGCTACAACCATCTAGTTTTACAACTGAAACATACCGTTGGCAATTTTTATCAACACATGTATGAAATATCTTTTTGGTAGATCTGAGAGTTTTGTACTAAAATGCACCCTCTATACTTTTTGTTCCTAGTGTTAATTGAACAACTTCGTCGTTGTAAATTTGTAGCACCTTTATTGGATCATTTGGGTTTTGGCTATGTGATGGACTAGCTGCATATTCCAGATCAGATCATATATCTGGCATGCCAAAAAATTTCCTTTGTAATGTAATTGTTGATTACAACCAACCATTCAATATCAACATCATCTTCTTCTGTGACTGATATGCTTAAAACAACTTTATCTATTGGATCATCAATTTATATAAAATCATCATTTCCGCCTTCATTATGATAGGTACCATCATTATCAACATGGATACATGTAACCTTACCAACGTCACCTAAGTTCTTATGATTTATTGGTTAGACATCATGAATTTGTCATTCTACCGACAGTTGATGTGGAACTACCGGTGTTTGATATGGTACTATCAGCTTTTGATATGGTACATAATATTCGAGACCGACGTACAAGATTTGTTGATATGCATACTAGTTTTCATAGACAACTTGTGGAATGAATTGTAGTTGTATTGTTGTTCCATATGTAACATATCGATCAACATTGTTAGGATCATTTTGATAGGTATGCTTACATGCTTTATTATTAATACCTCTTCTATTGGATATGTTCTTAATAGAGTTTTTTCCTCTTATGCTACAAGACCCTTTTCCGCTTCTAGGCTGGTTCCCACAAACAACATATCGATTTGCGATATTCTATCGAGTCTCCTTCACTAGATCATTATAAGAGTTGAAACTATATGAATATTATTTTTAAATGCTTCACATCATCCTCATCAACTATCTATATAACATACTTCACCCTCATCGACTATCTATATAACATACTTCACCCTCATCAACTATCTATATAACATACTTCAATGTAGGGTGTTGGAAAGACACGCTGATATTAGGTCTATCATCCAAATCTATCATTTGTTTGACCAATTTCTATAAATATGGGAAATTTATATCTACAAACATTTCAACACTGAAGTTTTAAAAAATTTCACATATATCAATTTCTCATTTTCTCACTGCCATGAACCACTGACACAAACAAAAATACTCATCTGGAATGTTTGAAGTTATGTTATCTTAACAAAATCAGAAATGGTAAGTTGGGAAAATTTGCTAGTGAAATTAGACAAAAAATATATAAAAAGTTAGCTACAAAAATCAAACAATTGGATGTGGAAAGTGTTTCTTTCAAAACAATTTCTTATAAGATAACACACTTTAAATTATACAGATTTTCACGGTACTGATTTTGATTTTCGCAATACGGTCTCTTCTTTTTGCGGTCAACATGACAAGACAATACATACTTTTTCAAAAAAATACAATATTTGGTTTTACATATTTTCCAGATGACATCATCTTTCGCAGATGACATAGATTTCACAGGATTGAAAACATTGTTTGTTTGGTCGTTGAAAAAAAAATCACAAACCATTAATATTTTCGCAGATGATGGCATGTGAAAAAATAGATATTTTGGCATTTTTCTGATTTATGGCTATTTTGTGGAAAAACCTTTGGAAAAAATGGCTATTAGTCATTTTTTAAATTAACAATTTCTTTTATTAAATTTAAAAAGAAAACGTTAGTATGGATAAATTAGTCTTTATATATATATATATATATATATATATATATATATATATATATATATA